CGGATTCATATTCTTGGACGTACAGAAAGATACTAATAATTTTATCTAGTAATTGAAACACATGTAGTTTTACAATATTATTTGAACAATAATCGATGCATGTTAAGTGACATAATAATTTGTAAATTTAGAAGAGCAATTCCACCTTAATTATATTTGTTCTAGTTTATATATATATATTAACGGATTGTGATGTGTGTTTATGTTTGTTTGCAATAACTATATCGATTATATTGATTCCACAAGATTTACACTATTTTTTGTGTGTTCCTGTAACGATTGAGATCTATAGTGCATACACGAATGTATGTTTTTGGCTCTAAGAAATATCTAAAGGATTCTTTTTGGAATGATGGCAACTTTTCACATATTTTCAACGGTGAAGCGGTCCACACGCACAACTTCCTACGGTGGAGCAACTACCATATGTTATGTCTCTTTTAGGATATGATCGAATATTCATATACATAACCTATATTCGTTTATACATACATATATACTTCTAAAAGACTAACCCCAAAATTATATGATTATATCTGAAAGCTCCCAATCCACTATCGTCGAAGTTTTTTAAAATTTAAAACAAGAGTTACAATTATGGTGTCCCTATTTGTTAGTATGTATCACATCGTGTTTCTTATACAACGTTCCTCTGTTTAGTTTCAAAATATCTAGAAAATAGATTTACGTAGATATGGATCCATTGTTATAGTGGAGTTAAACAGATTGGCACATTCCTCTTAATATCGGAGTATAGTTTCAAATTTCGATTTGGTCGAGAGCCCAGAGGTTCTACTAGTGAATTAGCATCAACATTCTGTGACGCTTAAGTAGTGCCACGTGCTGGACCCTCACTAGTCACTACTATTTCCACCCACTTCCTCTATTATTACAGACTTTAAGCATCAAAATGCATCATTTGATTTTTATGGAAAAGCAGCACACATGCATATGTGCTTTGACTATGTATGTCTACGCGTTTCTAACATTATATTGGTAACAAACTACAAATACGTTATAATTATATCATCTTTAGGAAATAATTCCTGACAGATATTTAACAAAATTTGTTGAAGAACATGTTCCATCAGAAAAAAAAAAGCTCCATCAACTAGATCCTAATTGAATGGAGGGACGACATCAATGTCCAGTGCAAAGTTCCAAAATTTTTTTGATGTTCTATGCACAATTAAAAAATCAGGTTATTTTGCTACTGTAAATTTTATTTTATTTCTTAAAAAATTCTTCCCAAAAAATAGTGATGTAAAGCTCTAAGCGATGGTTTCCTTTGCTTATGCTCTGGACCTGCCATATATAACATATTGACATGCATTGTTAAATATTTCAAAAGCCTAAATGAAGTTGATAATTTTTTTTTTTTTTGATAAACCCTATCGGCTATCCGGTCGGCCCCGGTAGGAACGCACCAAGGTGCTACATAGTAGACTGGTCCACCGTGTTAACGGTTAGGCCCTTACGGGCTACCACTCTGCCTATCCCGAGTTTAGAATGCCTTCCGACTAAGTGCCAGGGGTAGTCAGGCCGCATGCATTTCTAGCTACGAGGTAAACCAATTGGGCCAAGGCCCAACTGACAGACTTTCCAAACAAATGTGTTTTTGTTTCCAAGGAGAATCGAACTCAGGTTTGAGAGTTTCATCCTTTCCCAAAGCTTCCTCTGCCACTAGACCACGGATGCTTGGGCAAAACTGTTAGGGTAAACTTTTTATAGTGACTGACCCCACCCCGAAAGGCCCCATATCCAGGAAAATCCTATATGCGTCATAGAAACCCGTGGGCCATCTACAACAAGATTTTATTTGGAGAGGTTTCAGTTCCACCCCGCTGACAGAGAATCGAACTCGTGACCTCTGACAGTCGTGTGTGAGAAGTCACATTGAAACCACTAGGCCATCAAGGACTTCTCGAAGTTGATAATTAATCCTATGCATCCATCACATCCATATCTTTCTCTCTTGCAGTGTTCCATATTCTTACTTGTGGTATACTAACAAAGGGGGCTCGGCGGCAACAAGTCTTGGATATTGATATTTGTCTTCCTTTATTTATCACAATTACACAATTTTCATTGATTTTGATTTCCTCTTAATTATCTATTTCAAAATTGTTATTTTTTGATCTACCGGCAACAAATACTTGGTCAAACAAACTGTTTCTTTTCTCAAAATACCAGTGTTCTAAAAAGCGTTCTAGGCGGTTGCCTAGGCCCCGACTAGGCGCTAGGCTCTCATGTGACGCCTAGATAACCGCCTTGACCGCCTAAAATTACATAGATCTTGTTTAATGTATTTTTTCAATTTCAATTAGAGTTTTATTTACATATATAGTTATAAATATTCATATATTGTTTAATATAAATATAAATAAATATTTTATCTAATTTTTATTTATAATTTCATAATTTTTAGTTTTATATAGATATTTTATATAACTTTTATATATAATATCATATTGATAATGTTTTATGTTATAAACGTCTAAACCGCCTAAAAAATCGTCTAGGCCCCGATTAGGTGTTCTAGGCGCTAGGCACTGGGTCACCGCCCGCTTAGCGCCTAGCGCTTTCTTGAACACTGCAAAATACTCATTGTTTGAGAACAATAAGAGGGAGTTGCGAATCCTCATTGTAATCTCCATGTTTTCCAAAACTTTAAAATCCAAATATTTTTTTTTTTAAAACATAAAAATATTTTAATTTTGGAAGAAGAGAAATCGCTCAGTTCAGCGGGATTATCGACACACGCAAAACTTTCCACAAGGAAAAATCCTACATTACGGTCTGTTGAGCTTGAATATTTCGAAGTCATCACCACGAATTCTCTTTCCGAATAAAAAATCAAAATCATAATAGAAGAAAAACTTGGAAAAAGCGATTGCTAATTAACAGCGTGGTGCTGTGGAGATTAGTGGTGGTGACTTTGAGTTTTATATATTTATAGGTTAATTAGCCTCCTAGGGTTTCTCCTGACTCCACAGCCTCTGTTTTAAAGCGATCCGTTTGACTGGACCTTAATTGGGCTGATATATTAAATAAATAGGCCTTCTAAGCTAGAAAAGTGTGTACAAAACCCACCAAACATTTAATCTAATTTGACGGGCCCATCTGTGTATTTAATAATATCTCATGATCTATTTTTTTTTTCTTTAGGACGTAAAATTCATCTTCTCGGATACTAGTTATCAACACTGACTAGGAATTTGTAATTTAATGGTTTCGGATATTGTTATGGATGGTTGTCACGACTTCAAATTTACATGATATATGTTAAAATATAGTAATCAAAATTCTTTTATAAAAAAGAAATAATAATAATCAAAATTCATCATTTCTTTGGCTAATTGGACAATGGATTCATAATTAGATTATTTAATTATTCTTGATTGGCAATTCATCAACTCAACCTACATTATTATTTGTTTTTGAAAAATACACTCTCTTTTTTTTCTTTTCAGAACCACTCTTTTAATTTCAAATTACTAATAAAGCATTAACATATGTTGAGTTGATCTTTATTAGATAATTGCAAAATTATGTGCGACATTTCTTAAGCTTGATAAGTATTTGAAAAGATTAAAAAAAAAATTATTTTTCAAAAAAATTCTAAATATTGGCTAGTTTTCAAGTTTATAAACTTGTATTTTTCAAAAACTGCCTTTTTAAATCTCGGTTTTTAATTCATTATAAAAGCGGAAGAAAAAAATCACTACTCTCATGCCTGAAAATTGCGGTATCACAAAACATGTTCATCCACATCAAATTAGCGAAAATATTCGTACAGCACTTGCAGCAGCAAACTACCTTGGTCATGTGACTATAGAAGCTATTTGTGGCAGCATTACGATGTTCAACAGGAGTTTCATTATTGTGGATAACTAATATAAATTGATATATTGACGTACTATTATTTATTTTATTGTCAATTTGATTTTTTTATTTAGTAGTGATAATGTATATTATATTTTTGAAATATTCATAATATATGGTTTATTGTTTAAATAAATAAAGAAAAATAAATTTTCTAATTTACTAATCTTCTACCAAAAATAAATAATAGATTATGCATTTTTTAAAAAATATAAATATAAACAAAAATATAAATTTAATCATAATATGTGAAATATATTATCCATATTTGTGTTACAATATTCAAATTTGGCATAGCGAACTCATAACATGGGTTAAGGCTTTAAGTTTAGTTTATGGAATAATATAATACTAATCTCCTATTTAAAAATAAATAATCTAATTTTGGATTATATACCCAATTAGCACAAAGAAATGATGAAATTTGATTACTACTCCCTCAATTTTTTTTTTTGTGATGTTTCAAAAAATACATACATATTAAGAAATCATTAAAAATTTTGTTTATTGATAAACTAAAACATCATTTATTATCTACCAATACATGATTTAACCAATAAAAAAAAATATGCAGGATATAAATTCTCAAAACCAGTAAAAACGAATTAATTTTGTATTGAAAATTGAAAACATGATTTAATTTAAAATAATTTTTTTGTTAAACATCAAATATAAAAACAGAAAAATTATATTTTAACAAGTCATAAATGTAGCACCACCTACCAAAGTTTACATTATCACTAAATAAAAAAATCAAGTTAACAGTCAAATAAATAATAATACACTAATATGTTAATTTATACTGTATTAGTTATTTATTAAACTATATTATTTTAATTTTAAAGTTGTAAATATTAAAGGGAATTGGGCTTCTACCCATCACTTGCAAGACCACGTTTAGTTTTTTCTTTTTAATTTGGTCGACGAGAAACAAAGAAAAAATCCATTACAAAAAAAATTCAAGTCAGAAACAAAAAAACTTTCTGCCACCACAAGTTTTTTCACAAAACAATTATTATTTCTTTATTTAAACCTACCAAAAAACACAAGTGTGAAATCAAATAATTATAACCACCAATATTAACTCGCCACGTACATATCTGTCAAATAGTTGAGGAAAGTGGTCTGTCTCTCTCTCTCGGTCTCGATTTCTCCATTCTCACTACTAAAGTAAGTATACAACACCATTAAAGAGCAAGCAAAATCAAATCGATCTGCTGCTGAGGATATCGAAAAGATGTCATCTTTGGGTAGGATTTTGTCTGTTTCCTACCCACCGGATCCGTACACTCCGCGGTTTTCACAGTATAAGCTGTCTTCTTCACTACGGCGTACTCGGAGCCTCAGATGGCGATTCACGGCGTTGGATCCTGAATCTTCCCCACTCGACTCTGAATCCTCCGCCGATAAATTCGCTGCCGGGTAATCTGAATTAGCTTGAACAGTTTAAATCACAAGGCTTTGATTGTTTGCGTGTTACTCAAAAACTAAAAGTTATGATTTTTTTTTTTTGGTGTGTCATTGATAATGAAACGAATCAATTTTGTTGGATTGGTGAAGGTTTTGTATAATAGAAGGGCCTGAAACAGTACAGGACTTTGCCAAAATGCAATTACAAGAGATTCAAGATAACATTCGAAGCCGACGAAACAAGATCTTCTTGCACATGGAAGAGGTACTTACTTACTACTGTACTACACATCTTGCAATAGTTTCTTAAAGTGGAAACCTTTCTTAAACTGTTTTTTTTTTTTTTTTTTTGTGGGGTTCCCTTGTAGGTGCGGAGGCTAAGGATACAACAACGGATTAAAAACACAGAACTTGGTATCATAAACGAAGAACAAGAACATGAATTACCTAATTTCCCATCTTTTATCCCGTTCTTACCTCCATTGGTGAGTTTTTGTTTCCATGATTACAAGAATTGTGATTCTTTTTACCCTCCCTTGCATTTTGAATTGATCATAAAAATACATTTGATTTTCAGTCTGCTGCCAATTTGAAAGTCTATTACGCAACTTGTTTTTCACTCATCGCCGGGATTATCCTATTCGGTGGCTTACTAGCTCCTACTGTAAGTGCTTTTGCTACTTCTTGTTTTTCAAGATTGGCTTAGTTTTCTCTAATATAGTTTCCAATTTGTAACCTTGATGACAGCTAGAGCTGAAGTTAGGTATAGGAGGCACATCATATGCAGATTTCATTCAAAGCCTTCATCTACCTATGCAATTGAGGTTTTAATACTTGTTTCTTTGAGTTTTCTTTCAAAACTGTGATTTTTTTCGCATCTTCATTGCTTTTTTCGTATAATATATATCTTAAAAAGATGCTTAATCTGTGTGTTCACTTGAATAACAGTCAAGTGGATCCGATAGTAGCATCGTTTTCTGGAGGAGCGGTTGGTGTGATTTCGGCTTTGATGGTAGTAGAAGTTAACAACGTAAAGCAGCAAGAGCACAAGAGATGCAAATACTGTCTAGGAACTGGTACTATTATTTACTTTTTCTTGTTCTTGCTTTCTTATAAATTATGATATTTATGTAATGGTTTAAAACAATGTAATTACATTCTCTTATATAATTCACAGGGTATCTAGCATGTGCTCGTTGCTCTAGCACAGGTGCTCTTGTTTTAACTGAACCAGTCTCAGCTGTTGCTGGTGTGAATCATTCTCTATCACCACCCAAAACCGAAAGATGTTCAAACTGTTCAGGTGCCGGAAAGGTAAAAGCAGAAAAACCAAACTTTAAAGCCCAAAACCTAAAGATTTGGATGCTAAGTTGTATGTGTTTGATGTTCAGGTGATGTGCCCGACATGTCTGTGCACAGGAATGGCTATGGCGAGTGAGCACGATCCTCGTATTGATCCCTTTGATTGAATCTACAACAAATTCTACTTCCTCAGACTCTCGTTCTGTCAGTGTAACTAAAAATGGTATGTACTGATGAAATAATTAGAATTGCATCCTTTGATCTGTATATACACACAGAAATGAAGTTATAATACAATGTTAGATTTGTCTTCTTAGCGAAACCGGCATGTTGTGTACGTCTTGTGAGTTGTGACATAAAAACAGCATGTAATGTTTGGTTTCTCCTGCAAAGCAAAAAAGCTTGTTTCCTGCTAACATACTGTTTTCCTTCATGATTTTTGTTTCTGAGCTTTAAACGTTTTCAGTTCCGTAACAATGAGAAGAAAAAAAGGATGGAACAAGGTGTGTGTGTGGCTCAAGCTTCCCAGCCACACAAGAGAGTGGCGCGAGTGGCTCGTTTAACACCATGAGAATGGTGAAACTTGGATGTTGTGAAAGGCACGAGCCATGTTCATACTGGAGCTCTGTTTTGCGTATATGTTTGGAAGAAGCACCACTACTTTCTTCAACAGAATCTGCACATAGACACAAGCAGAGGGGAGCTTTAGAAACCAATCTCTTTGAGTAACATAGCTTCAGTGGCGCAAACGAAACCGCGTCCTGTGGCAGCTTGAAAAAATCTATTCATGCAGAATTGGGGTATCTCAAGAACTCTGTTTCTTCAGACCAATGAGCTTACATGGTCTGTTTCTTGAGAGCTAGGGAATATGAGAAGCCTTAAGATTCAAAAACTTCAATCGTTTAGTTTCCCTTCAACATTATACAACGGCAACATCTCTGAGTTCGTATCTCAGCTTACTGATCACGAAATCATCGAACTTTGGCAAAAGATTGATGAATGAATAGGAAAACAGAGCATTTTTTGACACTTTTTTAAAAAATAGTTTGGAAGTTTGATATTTAAGATTTTTATATGAGAATTTGAGCATTTTTTAAAAAATTTGGTACAAGCCTTTTTTTTCCTTGAAACATCAAAGCTAAGTAGAGATTTGTCAACATATTAAACTTTTATAAACCATGATTCTTATTCCTTGTAAAAGCGAAACACTACACAAGCCTCAGCTTCTCCAATAATTACAATATCAGAAAGAAATAAATGTAATTGTACAAGTTACATGTTTTTTTTTTTTTTTTTTTTTTCCAAATAAAGTAATTTAATTACGGAGTGGTTGCTTAATTTTGTAGTAGTTACATTAGAAAGAGGGAGGAGGCAGGAGCCAGCTAGATCCTTGGATGTAGCCAAGCGAGATGAAGTACTTAGCTTCTACGTCGTCAATGTCTTGTGTATACTTCACTCTCTTCTCCTTGTGCGATCCTGTTCCTGTGCACTTATATTCTCCATAGAACACCGTCCTGCTCATCAATCAGTACATTGTACATTAAAACTTATGTCATATAGTTTTTGATTGATGATATACTATGGTTTGGACTATACATACTTGTCACGTCCGGCCTCGCGATTTTCTTGCCATCCGGATGGGTTCACGACACTTGACATATCAGTGTATGCATAAACAACCTTTGGGTGGCTCATCCATGCTCGACCCAAGTAGATCCCGGTTCCAGTCCCTGTAACCTTGCAGTGCACGAATGAGTATCCACTTTTCTCTGCTGCGCTTTTTCCCGCATGAGCTGTGATCACTCTGATTCCATCTCCCACAACGTTTAGTTGTGTACCCTATTTTCATTAACATATAAAACGATTAACGTTACTGATCATCATAATTGCATATATACACTATAGAGCAAGAGATCTAATTAGGTAGGTACGAGGTATAGAGAGCGTCCACTTCCAAAGATGAAATCAAATGTGCCTTCGATGTAGCAGTCTTTGAAGAAATGGTTTCCGGTGTCATCACAAATCGTGTCTTGATAACCGTAAAATTTACAGTTGTAGAAAGCTGCTTTGTTGCCAGAGATTCTCATAGATAAAGCTTGTGCTCCCTTCCTCTTACCATCCGGCATAGGGGCAGAATTCTGAAAACAAAATGTTATTCCTTCCATTGTAAATAGTGTCGTTTTAAAATTTATTTTTTCTTTCAAAAGTAATGTCACATGTAATAAAATTTTATACAGTCCTGATTAATCCACATATTTTAAGACAAAAACTTACATATCTTACGATATTTTTACCTTAACGATGATGTTAACAGCCATGAAATAGTCTGACAAGACAATGAGAGTTGCGCTATCAACTGTCCCATATTGTGCTGCGGTACCATCGAATGTCAATACGGGCATTGCATTTGGATGACCATAAAGTGTGATGAAGGGCTTGTTTCTATCTATCGTGACCTTCTCTTTGTATACACCAGGACCTATCTTGATTATCACACGCCTAGTGTTCCCTGCCCGTACACTGTTTATTGCTTCGGTTATTGTCTTGAAATGGCCTCTTCCATTTTGTTTCACCTGCATTAATAGATCCAAAATATATCATATAAAATATCGCAATAACGACTAAAAAATATAGCAGCAATATTTTTTGAAAACATAAGCAAAAATGTCTACTAGGTAGTCTATAAGTATTGTCATGCCTTAATGATACGTGGCTTAGCCTCAGCGGTCAATAGAGCTGGATCTAATGTGTTTTTTCTACTAGCCAACGAAGGGACGTTGGTGTTGAACCACTGCTCGATTCGGCCTTTGTTCTCCGGAATTGGTGCTGCATCGTTACCGAAAACCACGGGCGATGTAATCACCACGAGCAGGATTGTTACTATGAGGGACACATAATTGTATCCCATTGTACTATTAATATTTGTTACTACTTTTCTAAAGTAAAGATAATTAACTTTCTGCTTCTTCCTTTCTTATGGTATATGTATACCATCGCTGAAAGCGAAGAATACCCGATGCCGTTAATTTTTTGCTAAATCGGTTTCTGGTTCCTTGCTCTTTATTCATTTTTATCCCTTCATAAATTCTATATGTACTGTTTTAAATGTTCAATCTAACTAATTTAGTTTATTTTTCTAGAAAACTAATTTAGTTTTAAAGGTGTAAAACCGACGATAGTTTTATTTTTGGAACAAATGATTAGCTAATACTTTATAAGAAACTTTTCAATACTAAACGTCTAAACCATACATGGCGCGTTAAGATATCCCAAATATCTTCAGAGACTATTGTTAGGAAATGAATTGGTGTACTCTAAACTTCATAGTTCATTTAATCAAAAATAGTGTTATTTTTTATTCAACTAAAAAAAACCATGTTTACATCAGATGCAACCGTAGATAGAATTCAAAGCTGAAAAGAGAGTAGAAAGAGTGTGAAAGTGAAAACAGGCCACTATGTTCTTGTTCTTAACCAAATCTGTAGCCCGTCATCTAGAATCAGATTGCCGTGTCCCTTGATGGAGTATAGTTTGTTGCGGACTACACGAGATACGAGATTGGCGAGATATCAGGAGGATCCGAGACCTCACCATGTCGTCTAGAGTTGCGCTCGCACTGTGTCATGTTATTTTTTGTTTGTCATCAAAATCAAAGGCAGTATCACAGAATTTGAGAGGATCCAAACCGGTACATAAATGCCTACATACTTGATACATAGGAAAATAAAGGAACATGCAATCGTGCCTGACGAGCCAATATTGAATTTGCTTGCAAATGACTGTCACGAGAAATCAAGTTGGTAGAGAAGGAATCAATCAAAAAAAGAAAAAAAAACTCTTGCGTTTTGATTTTGTGACTAGTGTTGTTTTAAGATGAAAGAACGTAATGGTGTTCGTGTGGTCGTTTTTGAACGTAAAGAATTTTAATTTCCTTGGTCTATTTTTTTAATTAGGTTATGAATACATATGTCAGCAACTATTTATAATGTGCATACTTTTGTCAAACAAACAAGAAACTCAATGTAAACTTCCTCTACAACTTTAACCCCTATACTATATTAGAAAAACCCAATCACTAGAACAAGGACAAAATCAATGAATCATTGGATTCATAAATCAATCACGACACCACGAACCCCTTGTCGTAGGCCTTTATGTCCTAATGTATCTGGTGATGGTGGACGTGTCACCGGAACATTCTGTGGCACCCGCATCTCTGGTGAGTGTCCTGAGATGCACATCGATCCCGACCCGTCTTGTTGCCAGTACACTTCCACCATTACCCCACTTGGATTCTCTGCGTTTTCTGTATCAGGGATCCCAACAAATCTTGCTCCCACAGGTATCTATACATTAACCATATAACTCAAAATTTCTCAATTCTGCATTTGGTTAATATATACATACATGTGAATATTGATTTTACCTCTAGTGAGATGCCTGATTTTAACTCCAGAGTGACCATGTTTCCTTCGGCTGTTGCGCTTTCTAGTTCAGCCTGTCTTGCGATGTTGAGAAACACTTCTTCAAGAGTCGCAAGACCGAGTTGGATGTCCGAGATTCCAAATTCAGATTCTCTGTTTTGTAGCTCCTCAAAAAACCCCTGTTGGTCATTGAGACCACAGAGAAACAATGATGAATATCATAGATAGATTGATGAAGATCTATAGTTTTTTTTTTTAGAGCTTTGTACCGTCAAAAGGTTTTCTTTGTCGTGTGGGATAACAAAAGTCATGAAAGCTTTGTTTTCTTCTGTTGGCTCAACTTTCAGATGCTGCAAAAAAAGAAACACTTACTTTTTTTCTTTCTTTTTGCTTTTAGGCACCTAAAAGCAGTATATGTACCTCTTTAAAGAATTTCTTCAATGGCTCGTGCGAAGCTCCAACACCGATGTTATTGTCATTTTTGCTTTCGATGAAGCTAACGTTAGCAACGAATCCGGTACCAAAGCGGGATTTTAACCTGATTGAGGTCCCAATGCAGCGGAGCCTGCCTTTAGCCATGATCCCTATTCGATCACTTAAAATATCAGCTTCTTCCATAGAATGCGTCGTTAGTATGATGGCACGACCTTTCTTTGACTCTTGTATAATGTCCCACACATGTCTCCTCGTGATAGGGTCCATGCCAGTTGTCTAGAATCCATGTATAAACAACCATCTTAAAACTGATTTTTGTGTCATTATAATATAAAATCATATTTAAAGAAGAATGTAGCAACTCGACATGCCGGTTCATCTAGGAAGACCAGCTTGGGATCACCGATAAGTGCTACCGCAACACTGAGTCGACGTTTCATTCCACCACTATAACTTCCTGCTCTAACTTTCGCAGCTCCTGTCAGTTTTACATCCGCCAGTAACTTCTCAGCAGTCTATAAGAGAAATGAAACTTGTAAGCAAAAGAAATGGACAAGTGTGCATGAATGTTCAATAAAATCATCAGACATCTTTTGCAGCCGTAAAAAGAAAGTACACTATGACATTTTTCAGTCGGCATACCGATTTGATCGATGCTGGTGGCAATCCTTTGATGCTAGCAAAGAGGTGGAGGTGTTCTTCACTAGACAAAGCATCCCAAAGAATATCAAACTGTTAAAAAAAGAAAATAGTGTAAGAGATCATTGTGTAAGATATAATGCTAGAAACATCTATGGAATTGACTTACCTGAGGACACACTCCTATCATTTTACGAATGTTAGACATACCCACGGAACTTCTTATGGAGTCTCCATATATAAGAGCTGTTTAAGTAAACCAAATTGATCTTATTAGAATTGTTAATAATGCTTTGAGAACTTGCTTCCTCTCTAAACAGATACTTACCATCACCACCAGTAACTGGATTTATGCCAGTCAAACAACTAATAGTAGTTGTTTTTCCCGCGCCATTAGGTCCAAGAAGACAAAACAACTGATCTTTGGCAATATTCATCCACAAACCCTGAAAATTTAATTTCCATGAATTAGTTGAATAATAGATGTAACTATTGTAACACATTTATCTCAGGTTACATGAGCTAGGAACAGCTTTGGCAAAAACCATTCATTACCAGAACTATTTTCTTATCGGAAAATTACATACCTTTACAGCATGAAAAGGCGAAGTTTTGGTGCATTTGCAGCATCCAAGCTTTGTAGTCCCAGGATATGTCTTTGCAAGACCATGTATCTGAACTGCAATGTTAGGATCAACTATTCCATCCATTGCTTGTTGTTTAACTTCTGTCTCTTCTTCAAGCACATCTTTGTCATCTGGCGTATTATGCTCCACGGGTGGAACTGAACCAATACAGCTAAAAATGCTACCTTCTGCAAAGCGTAGAAACGTGTTTTAGTTACGTTTCCCAACACAGAGAATTTTTCATGGGAAAATACCTTCCACTTTGTTGCCCCCTTTGCCAGTCCAATAACCAGGTGCTAAAAAGTAGAAGATCGGTTTTCTTACACCGGACGAGTTGGGAATAATATTGTCAAAGTAGATGGCCAGAACAAACCAGAATAGGAATGTCCCAAGGAGCCACTGGTAGATAATGTTCTACCAAAATTTAAAACACTTGTTTGAGAATATGATATATTAGACGACTTTACTACTAATGGAGTGAAATTTATTTTGAATGGCCACATACAATAGAAATTACGCAAGTCGCTTGGCCCCCTTCACATACGGCTCTATTACTCCAACTGATTCCAGAGCTTTTGGGAGTTGAGGTTGCATCAAGAAGAAGCTTAAGTCCCGCAGAAAAAGTGTTTGGTGGAAAAAGAGACCACATCACCCGACGAGAAACCGCATAAGCGCTGGAATAAGGGAATCCAGTAGCTGATACAATCTGCAGGTAGAATTGTAACTAAGTAAGAAGTTGAAGATTTTGATCAAGAACCAGTTTAATTACTATTTTAGCTAGAGAAGCCATATATATACCTGTGTTATAAAACCAATCAAAAACACAAGGAAACCGACGGTTGTTGCCGAAGATGATTTGCTAATAATAGATGATAGCGCAAATGCTAGGCCAATCTAGCAACACAAGTAACTTAGATAACTCAAAATTTATACATAAAATATATCAGAAGAAAGCAGAAGGTAATTAGAAAATGAAGGTTTTTTACCATATTAAACTGAAAGAGCAAGAAAAGTAGGAAGACAAGAACAAAACTGTTCTTCAAGAAAAAATCAAACCGGAATATCATTCCAAAGAGGACCAATAAAAGTGAGGAGACAAAAGTAAGGATTCCTTCCCATAAGAGCCATGACAACCAATATGCAGAATCATAAACACCCATCATTGTCATTGCCTGCCGAAGTTTGAGCTCTTTCTCGGTAACCAGGGAACCGAGTTGGAGAACAAAACCAAACATGGAGAAAGCAAGGAAGAACACTGGTCCCATGACTGAGAGTGCAGAGGTAGTTTCAGTTATAATAGCTGGTCGTGCAAATTCCTTAAATCCCAAACCCCAACCAAAATCTGGATCTGCAAGTGAAAAAAACTAACGAGTGTTGGTAAAAGAGTCGACAACTAAAAGATTCAAGAATGATCCGTCTACCTCCAATTAAGGACCTTGCGATTTCACGCTCTGCAGCGACTTGAAGAGGAACAAGAAACTTAAACGTAGGATCTTCAGTCTGACCACGTTTTCTCTCCGAGGAAGAATTTGTTTGAATACCATAGCTGATTACTGAAGCATTCCTTTCCACAAAATGCAAAGCTCCTGGAACTTGCAAGGGATGTGACAGAAGCCATGCATCTACCTCATCAGGCTCCTTGAACGATTGAACCTGAAGAACATCACTTTAAATAACAACCGCAGAAACACTAACCAAGTTAATTAGTAATACCTTGTTGGTTGGAATTGGTCTCCCTGGATTGTTAGCCATAATTGCAGAGACGATATCAGTAACGCGGCGACTATGGTTCCCACTCCACACGAAGTCATAGCAAGGAAGCTTCACAAAGAACTTGTCCTCACAAGGAAGAATCGGTGGGGAAACCAATAGTGTAGGATCAGTGATATTCTTGTACGCTGTTGAGGATGCGTCGCTTGCCTTCATGGCTTCCTCTATACAAAAGATGACAAGGATGAAGAAGAATGAAGAGAAGAGTTGAAGACACGTGGCTCTCTTGTTCCGCCATGAAAGCAATAGATTCTTCCCGAACAACGCCGTGAACTGCTGGTAGAGAAGCGGCAAGCCTTCTTGCAAAATCATTATCAAGTTTTTTTTTTTTCTCTTCTTTTTAAAATAAATTGTATGTTTTAGGAAAGCAAAGTTATTATCTAATAAAAAAAAAAAAGGATTGACCAATATTAATTAGAAAGAAAACTATCCGCTTCCAATTTTTTCGGTTGACTAAATATCATCCCCAGCTTGAAAAATGTGTAAAATTGAGACCTCACATATTTAATTCATATTTAATTGACACCACATTTTATTTGGCACTAAAAAAAAAGCGCAAGTTTTAAGGAAGAAACGATTACTAAAATTGGCAAGGCAAAAAAAAAAGTGTAAATTCAGACCTCACATATTTTTCACATTTAATTGAAACCACACTTTATTTGGCACTAAAAAAAAGCGCAAGTTTAAAGGAAGAAACGATTACTTAAACTGGCAAGGGAAAAAAAACAAAGACGACAAAGTGAGACTACCTAAGCCAATGGTGAATCCTAGTCCAGCAAGTTTTTGGACGCAAGCCAATGCGTTACTTAGGAAGAACTTAACCTACCAGGTATGTTTTGATATTGCCGTTTCCGGCAAGTTTCTTAGAATATCTTTGTGTTTAGCTTGGAACGATCTAATTGCTTGAACCCTGAAATGGCAGAGGAAACACATATGGACAAATGTTCGGCTCATCCTGGTTCCACTCTTCCTCTGTTTAATTCTGCTGGCGATTCAACAAGTGCTTGATGCCTTGATGAAGAGTGTCTCTGATATGTCTAATTGTGGAGGCAACGTTACTTTGCCTGGTGGTATCTGTCCCATCCCAAACCCTCCACCGTTGCCTCCGATGTTGCAGATTCCACAACATGAACTCCGTTCCGTTAAGACCGATTTCTTTTCCTACAAAGATCTCCCTGACAAGTCATGCAGAGGAACAGGATCTTGTCCTGTAACGATACTTATCACTGGTGATAAACTGGCTCTTGGAAAAGCTTTATCCGCAAATATCTTCAGCACTTCTTTTGTGGTTAATTCCTCCGACCTCTTGCCTACTTTAGCCAATAACGTCTTGGTATGTCTCTCTCTCTCTCTCTCTCTCTCTCTCTCTCTCTCTCTCTCTCTCTCTCTCTATCTCTATCTCTGAGTGCAGTTGATTCTCTTATCTCTCAACCACTTCTTTTACTCGAGAGATGATGACTTTCAGGGTTCAACAGAAGCAGCGGGGGAAGACAATTATGAAGACCCGGGGATTGCCTCAGATCTCCCTATTTACAGTATCCAACCTTCTTGCAGTGCAAACTCTACATGGCCACTCTCGCTCGGACAAATTCAGACAGGTAGATTTTTTTTTTTTTTTTTTTTTTTTTGTGAATTCTAGGCATAGGCTCATACATCCTCTCAGACATGTAGTTTTGACATGGCTCTAGACGTGAGAAATGCATGCGTTTTTTATTTATAAAATTTTTTGATGATTGTTTGTTATTAATTAACTATCTCAGCGGTGAAGTGTGTTCAAGGGTTGTGTCTCTGGAGAAATAACTCTGTAGAGGTCAATGATGAGCTTTTCAAGGGTAGTTGGAGGGGAAACCCTGCGGGGATGACAAATGAGATCGTTGCAGGTTTGTAAAAAACTGCCATTTATATATCCTTGGTGGTTAAATTATTCTGGCATTTATATTATGTCTGCCTTTTTTTGTTGCCTTAGCATACGATCTCATGAGCACGGATAGGAAAAATTTCAATGTGACCATATGGTATAACTCAACCTACAATGATGAGTTTTCAACTGGTCAGCCTTTAAAGCTGGTCCGAGTTCCCCGCTCTATCAATCTGGTAACAAATATTACACCAAATATATATATATATATATATATATATATATATATATATATATATATATATATATATACGGTGATCATGTACTCTCAAGAAATCGTTGAATTTCACATGCGATTTCATATATCTCTCCTGTATGCAGATATCAAATGCTTATCTTAAGTTTCTAAAAGGCCTTGGGACAAGGATATTATTTGAGTTTCTCAAAGAAGTTCCTAAAAAAGAAACGAAAATGAATCAAGACATTGCGTCCTTGCTAGGCCCACTTTTCTTCACTTGGGTTGTTCTTCTTTTGTTCCCCGTAAGTTCTCTTACATGCTACTTAATATTCATCCCATTATATTGTATGTATAATAAATAAGATATATATAAATCTTGCATGCAGGTGATCTTGACATCATTGGTGTATGAGAAGCAAGACCGTATACGAATTATAATGAAAATGCACGGGCTAGGCAGATGGTCCATATAGGATGATTTCATATGCCTATTCTCTCTCCATATATATGTGGTATGTTATTATCTTTGGTGAGCTTCGGGTCTGCTATAGGACTCAAGTACTTCCGGCTCAATGACTACAGCATCCAGTTCGTTTTCTATTTTATCTACTCAAATCTACAAATCTCCCTCG